TTATTTCAAGTAACATAAAAATAGTTTTACTGTATGAGGAAAAAGATGTTAATATCTTAAATCTTTAGAAAAGCTACTCTGCAAAACTTTGAAAAAATATTGTCATTGTTTATATTCTAATTTCTATAATTTTCTTGTCGTCAATGTAGTATGTTAAAATCTTAAATAGATCTAAAATAGAAAAGACATTAACTAGAAGTAAAAATGTATTCTTCATTGCCCATTCACTTTTTTTACTATTAAAAAAATACATTTAATTGTAATGACATTGACTACTAATTTAGTTGAATAAATACTATAAACTAAAAGTATATAGCCAATAGGACTCAGTCCCCAATTGGATAGGATCGGCTCGAACAGTGCATCCTGATCGACACTGCTATGGTCGGCAGCTCCCAGCTTATCATGGCTCACAACTGGCTTATCAAAATTCAAAAGTCCAAAAACTAGAGCAAACCCGTTTCCGTTCTCTTTTTAACTTTCCTAAAATGATCATCCTAGGTTTTACGATGTCTCGTACTTCACATATGGAATATATAATCTGAGAAAAACCAAAATTTAAAATATAAATAACAAAAAAACAAAAAGAAAAAAACAACTATAAACAAAAATTTTGTAAAAATTAAGTTATAAATAAGCCAGTGCTTTGCAATGAAACATATGGAAAGTCAATATTTGTCAAATTTTCGATTTATTCCAGAATCCAGATGGGTAAAAATACATCATGATCGGTTGAAACAGATCCACCTGTCCTATACAAATTGCATTAGTTTTTTTCCAATAGTCCAAAAAAGTGCATTTTTTTACTATTAAAAAAATACATTTAATTGTAATGACATTGACTACTAATTTAGAATCATTTAGAATATGTTGACTTAAAATCATTCTAGGGGAGGGGGGGGTAATTACCCCCAGAATTCTGGGGGTGGGGTAAATAACCCCCCGTATTTCCGCCACTGCGTCCCCCTTCCCCATAAGCCGCCTCTGTCAGTTCAGTGTACATCTTTATTCTTAAAATATTAATAAAGGTTCTCTTTTAAAAGCTTTTAACTCGTCTAAAAGCATAAAAAACTTTTAATTCACATTAACGAAATATTTTAAGATTTTATCTGGACATTATTTCTAGTAACCCTCCATTTATGAGGTGCAGAGTCCAATTCCCAATGGTACCATCTCTCTGAACCAGTTTTTCTATCTAAAAACTGATTTATCATCAACTTAGGTTCTCTAGCTGGGAAAGTGACTTGCGGATTTATGAAGGAAATTGTCATTATTCAACACATTTCATGCTAAATAAACACGTTCCTCTTAAATGTTTATGGGGTACCATTGGAAATCGGACACGTCCAGTAGACTTAATAAATGGAAGGTCGCTTGAAATTAGGACTCTGGTCCCTATTAGATGGTGATTTTTGTAAGAGAACAATAGGTAGATTACTGGCAATATATTTAAAATTGATAATAATAATGATAAATGTATTTCAAACTAGATTGATATTACATTACATTTTATAGTCAATGTATGTATATATAAGTTGTCGAAAAAGTAAAATCTATTACAGTATTCATGTACATATATAAGTACAGTCTTTCTCTAGTTTGAGGACTAACAGAGTCTAGAGACTGTTTGAGTTTGCCCATCGATTAATATTTTTTTGGGCTAATCCTTTCGTTAAGCCAAGAGAGCAAGATAGTTGTGAAGAATGGATAGTGACCCAAGTTGAAACCAATCTAATCGATGAAATATTTTTCGCTGGGAGATCACTTTTGTGATATTTTCAGCGAGTCAATATATCTTTTTTGTTTCTGCTGATAGTGCATTAAGTTTAACCAGGGATCTAGACGCCCCTGCACCTTCACCAGGGATCTCGGCGCCCCTGACACATCACATTAAAGAAATATGTTTGTCATACATATTCTTAAAACTAATCAATGAGGTGGCATTTTTTAATGTCTACTGGCAAACTGTTAATTCCATCTTTTAATAACCCACAAGCTGATTAAGTTTCTCCTGATATCTAGATTGCACAATTTTGAGTTGAGGTTCATATTGTATGTCGAAAATCTTGTTTCTCGTTGAGCTGTGTCTACAGACCTAGAAAACCATGTACCTTCTTTTACATTATCATGTTTATGCAGAATCTTCCAAGTCTGGATTAAATCCCTTCTTATTCTTCTTTCTTCTAAGGTGGTCAAGTTGACATCCTTTAGTTGATCAAGGTTTAAGGTACTATGGAGGCCTGAACACTCTCAAGCAGTTCAATATCTGATTTAAGCCAAGGTGACAAAGTCTGAACACATACTCTAGAAATTGCGGGATTACCCAATGAGAATTCAATGAGAATTCAAGACGACTTTATGGAATTTATTCACACTTATTTTCTCACAGTAATGGTTCCACGTAGCCTTCTTGCCCAAAAAATTCGTCCACATCAAAAAGTTTTAATTTAAAATGGAAGACCTAGTTCAACCTTCAGGTCGCCAATAAAGTCTCATCTTTGGTGGGTAACCCTGCCGTAATGTTCTATAATCTTGCCAATTTCCTAAGTATTTCGGCCGGGTTGAGTATGAAGAGTAATAACTCTTCAACGAAATGAGGTATCGACGAATTTTAAAAACTCTGAGGTAGCTCTTGACCTTGGCTCTCTTCGTGCAAAATTCGTGAAACTTTTTATCGAAATACTGGTGTAAAGGAAAACTGAATTTTTTTTTCTGCAATACATGTTGCGGATATTTTGTTTTATTGCATAACGATCATATTTTTACAGATTGTAAAAATTCCAAAAAATACAGAGAAATAGCTGTTAGAAAATTGTCAGAATAAATCGGGAAACCTTGTATGTTAGTTTTAATAGATATGGGGTAAAGAATTAGAACTTTGATTTGATTAGAACTTTTTGATCTTTTGGCCAAAATCAATGTTTATTTATTGATAAAAAAGGGTTGTTTATGTCCAATTTTTTTAAAGGTTTAAATACCCCTCCTTAAATAAGCCGCCCCCTCCCCCTCCCCCCGATTTACGCAAAAGTTCGCTAATTATAGCGACCCCCACCATCACCTTTATACACATACATCTTAAAAGTTTGTTTTTAACCTTTGTGACAGAAACAATCTCAAGGAATAATAATTGTCCTAAAACATTTTTTTTTTCAAAAGTGAATATTTGCAAATTATTTTTTTTCCATATCTGAGTTAGTTTCCCTTGTGTCAATTTGACAGCCCAAATTTTTATTTTGAATAATCTTTTTTGTTTCTTTATTTTCTTGTGATTTTTAACAAATTTTTTTTTTTTTTTTTATACCGATTTTGATGGTTATTATATTTTAATAACTGACGAGGGTCAACCCAGACCAAAATATATTTTCAATAAATGTGGAACTAACATTTACTTTTTACTCTCCAGAGGTTTGGTCCATCACCATCACCGAATTTTAAAGTGATAACAAATTCGGACTAGTTAATAATTTGCCAACAAAATAGCTAACTTTATTTCCAAGTGATATTACAATTTATCAATTATGTAGTGGGATGTAGTATATGTGCAATTCAGATAATTCTACAATTACAAATTAATTTTATCACAAGCCAAGGTTTAAGAAAATAAATACAATCATACAATAAAAACTTACGAATAATTTTGATTATGTAAAACTAGACTGAATTATAAAATAACAATAAAAATGAATTTTCTTACAACGAGAAATGAAAATTGAATTTGAAGAGTAAAGTTAATTATGGCTAATTAACTTTGCAGCAAGGACGTATAGAAGATTTAATTATTTAATTTAGGAAGCCAAAATTTCCGTGATTGTTTCGCAGTTATATAATAAGGGTGGCTCTTTATTTTTCATGAACATAATAGAATTCGGGTTAATTCCAGTTCTAATTACAATATTTGATAGTGTGTAAGATCTGTGGATCTTTATAAACTAATGCGTGTTCAGGGTGTTCAAAGTCAAGAAGTTCTCCAGCTCGTCCTACGGAGAACCCCTATCTTCAATCAACTAATCCTACAAATCTCTACAAATACATTGAATCTACCATTATTTATCTTACCATTCAAACTACCAATCTAAGATTTTTATATAAACCTTTTCTAAAGCCTATTTTATATTCTTGAAATTGAGTCTAATTTTCTATTATCGTACATGTCTTAAAACAGAACTGTCAATAAGTTTTATAAATGCTTAAAAGTCTAGCCACTTTAGTTTTAATAATTGGTCTTGTCTTTTAAACCAAGATGGGTTAGTTGTACCCCTCCCACTTGGTTTCGTTCTCTTTCTCCAGGTTTATAAATCATCCGTGATTTAAATATTCACATGGAAACTTTTACTCCATATTGTTTGATTCTTTTCTAACGGATGGTTTATATAATATATATAGATTTGTTGTGATAATTGTAATTCCTCCCTCAAAAGTTCCGTGCATGCCTCCAGGCACTGAACCAGGTGATTAATTATGAACATTAAAAGTTGAGCTTACAAATTATCCTGAATTCTCACAACCACTTCAACAACTCTTATGCTAGGCTGGCTCTGAGTCCCGTTGATATGTAACCTGACTTACTCCGCTGACTCGCGGATAAGTTCCACCTTCAACATGCAGATGTCTCCCCTGTGTGTTTGATTCCTGAGATGGTTCAGTTCTCTTCCTGAGATGGTTCAGTTCTCTTCCTGAGATGGTTCAGTTCTCTCCGCTGGCTCGCGGAGCTAAACCTATCTGCATCCTTGGTCCCTGGGATGCAGATGCTCTACTCTCCTCTCACCTACTAATCTTGACCCCCTGTGCCTTGGGTGGGTCATGAATTCTCTACGTATACAAGACTCCAGTCTCAACAGAGTCCGAGAGTTCCTGTGTCTTTGGATCTCTACGTATACAAGACTCCAGTCTCAACGGAGTCCGAGTGTTCCTGTGTCTTTGGGACGCTTGCTGAATTCTCTACGCTTCCTCTGGTAGTATCCTAGAGACGTCTTCATCTCTAGGTACCAGACCTCCTACAACCATGGCTTGGTTGTTTCCTGTTCTACGGTATCTCCGATGGAATGATTTACTCTGTTTCCCTGATCTAAGCTCCTCTAGATCAAATACAGGTACTAGTCTCAATCACACTTCTTGTGATCTCTGTGAGAAAGTTAAAACTTGAGAAGGATATTTGAAGATACACATAAAGATCTCAACTCAACTCTATAAAGCTCATATTTAGTTCTTGTACCCGAGACTGTGGTGCATTCTAAACACTATAGGCTACAAACCTCCGGACAAATCAACATTGTAAGTGAATTTTTCTATTTATTTAAAATTAAACATTTGTTATATAAAATTGAATGTTTTACCTGGAGAAAGTTTTATTTTTAAAGGCTAGAATTCTATTTTATCGTAAAATTAATTAACCCTGGACTGATTTATTGTGTTTTCAGTTCACGGTTGAGTCCTGTATAAACTGCCTACCTGAAATATATACATAAGATTTAACAGGGCAAATAGAGGTGAGCCGAAGAGAAAGAGTTCATGCTCGCTCTTATGTTTGTAGTTATTACCTGGTCTCCTATAGGTAAAAATGAGCACATAGTGGTACAACCTTTAAAATTACTATAATTAATTTCTTAAAACATAGTTTACCAAATCAACTTACAGTGCATACAGTTCACCGTCTGTAAATTGTAATTAAATAAAGAGTGCTTCGTAATTACACTACTATACACACACAGAACAACCACCTTAATTAAAAATGCCCAAAACAGTTTTTTTCCTTGAGGTATTTTATTTAACTTAATTAAGTAATTATTTATTTCGTATCTCCTTTCATCGATATCTCTTAGACCTCATCTTTCAATTTCATCATCCCCTAAATAATTTTTCTTTTGAGATCGAAGTAAAAATATAAGTTTTAAAAATGATTTTTTTACAATAATTTGAATTGTAATTTACCTGATGATATATCTCGACGTGTCTTGTCAGCTTTGACTCAGTCACAAATCTTTTTAAGCAAATAGTACACTGAAAATAAAATAACCGTTAGAAATTAAAAAAAAGGAATTAAAAAAATCTATTCACGTTTCAATTTCAATGTTAAATCAAAAGTCTCCCCTTCAAGATCCAATTAACTGCATTTTCTTAATTAAAACGTATGATTAATTATTGGTTAGGTAATCAAAATGTCCTAAAAAGACCTAAAAGGTAATGTATACCTGAGATTTAGCATACGATGAGGAAGCAAAGCAGTTTTTCCGATGTCCGTTCATAAAACCTCTCACAAACTTCCCCCCGCAATCAGGGCACTTGTGCTTTTCGCCCAGGTGAACACTTTGAATGTGTAGTCTTAATCCACTGCTTGTGAAACAACGTGTATCACACTGATCACAGGGATAGTTTCTCTGTTTAAGATGAACATAGTATTGATGGTTCCGTAAATCTTGAACTTCTTTCCCACAGTCCGGACACTTATCCCGAACCTTCAGATGGACCCGTGAAATGTGATTCTTCAAATGTGCTGTTGTCTGGAACCCTTTCTTGCATTCAGGACAAGTATGTGCGCGCACTTTCTCGTGAACAAGTTTGATGTGGCTTTTGAGGCTTGCAACCTCTTTGTTGCAGAGCTCGCATTTGTAGCGTAATCCTTCGTGGACGTGAAGTTGGTGCTTTATTAGCGCGTAGCTGCTGTTAAACTTTGTTGTGCATCCTTTCACCTCGCACGCGTACTTCTTGATCATCTGGTGGACGCTCTCCACGTGCTGCTTGAGGTTGGTATACTCCTCGGAGCAGATGTCACACATCTCCTTCGATTTGGTGTGAACTCTCTTGTGTATTCTCAATTTATCTAGAGCGTGAAATCCTTTTCCACAAACATCACAAGTATGAACCTTCTCTGCTGCGTGGTAGTCTCGATGATGTTGTTCTACATTACGGATTAGTTTACCACAGATTTCACATTTAACACGGGTAGGCTTGTTGTGAAACTTACTTCTATGCCTGAAAAAAGTACAAAATTTAAATAAAAGTTCAGATATAAAATTGAACAAAAAAAATAGTTAACTATGTGCCTTAACATTGTTGTTTTAAGATTAATAATATCTGACCTGTCCTACATCCTTATGTTGTGGTTTTGAGATAAATAATCCGTGTCAAATTATCTATTTGACCTTGGTTTTGAAAGAAGAGTTTACAATTTACAATTGATTTTAGATTGATTTTAGATCTACTTTATACCTTAAACTGTGGTTTTTAGATAAAAATCAGTGTAAAATTATTAAATGTCCAACATATCTAGAGAGTTCTTGCTTCGAAAGAAGAGTTTACATCCTTATGATGTGGGTTTTAGATAAATAATTTGTGTAAAACTATCAAATGTCCGACCTATCTAGAGCGTTCTGGCTTCGAAAGAAGTAATATCTATCTATATAATAAAACAAGACATTCATATTATATATATGTTGCCTGTAGCTGGCCAAACGGCTGGACCGAATGGGCTGAAATTTTTTGTTGACAATCATGGGTTGTCGGGGGGTGTCTTTAGCAAATAAAAATGGTAAATTTTAAATTTCATTTTCAAATAATAATAAAAAATGTTTCCACGGGCAACGCCGAGCTCTTCAGCTAGTATATATAAGGTTGTGATCTCTCTTTAAGTCTGTTTCTTTGTTCGATCATAACTCAGAAACCCCTTGACCGATTTGTCTAAAATTTTAATGGAGAACTTGTGAGAACCACGGAATGTTCTCAGCTTGGTTTGAAGATTCTTAGTTGAGTGGATTCACTTTTTTAGGGAAAATTGCTAATATCGTACTTTTTGACAAAGCGCGGGTATACGGTGGGACTAACTATGACTAGCCTGGGCAACGCTGGGTTTCAAGCTAGTAGTATATATAGTAATATAGTATCTAACCTATTTAGTGCGTTTTTGCTTTGAAAGAAGAGTTTACATCCTTCCTCCTCACACATCTGTCCTAAGCTAACTCCATAGACAGGTAACAGCTCACGGTCACTCCACTCACACTCTTCATGGAAACTCTGAAAAAACATCCATAAAAAATCAATCAATCAATCGATTAACAATCCCAGAAGGTAGTTATCCGTCGTAAAAGCTTCATATACACTTGTCATAAAACAAATTTAATATATTAAGTTGTAATCTCTGTTTGTTTGATCATAACTCAGGAACCCCTGGACCGATTTGCCTCAAACTTTGATTGGGAAACTCAGTAGAGCCACGGGATTGTTATTAGCTTTGAGATTCTAAGCTGAGTACTTTTATCGTGAAAAATAGCTAAACTTGTGACTTACGACCAAGTGCTAGTAATTAGCGGGAGCAAAGACTCTCTATATAAAGCTGAGGCAGTAAAAAATTATCTGATTATTGTGTACGCTCTGTATTTGACGTCATTGGTTATTTTGGTAGCTTGAGCGTCTAATCTCTAACAATCAACATGAAAACCGCAGTTATTTAACACAATAGTAAATGTTTTGTGCTAAAAGTGAACGCAAATTGATAATATTAAATTGTATTTCAAAAGTCATTTAATCACTTGTTGGATAAAATGATCTTTTTTTGAAATAATCCTGATTTGTTTATAAGTTACGCATCTCTTTTGTATGAAAAATAGTCGATAATCGTTAATAAAAATATTCAGATGTAGACAAGTATGTTTTTTTTTCAAGTGGTACGGAGTGACATCTTAGGCAGTGAAAGGGGCAGCACACTAAATATAAAACATTAAAAAATGTGAGCTAATGTCGTCATTTGCTTTATAATAAGCAAAGAAATAATTTTGCATAAATGTATGCATATCCAACCCATTAACTCGTCATTTGATTTGTTGGGATTTGGGTTCAAAAGTATGAATCATTAACTGAAATAAAACTTCCAAGCAAGTAAAAACGTCTTAATTCATTAGAGAAGACGCCATTTGATTACAATCTTTTTTAGACCAAACAAAATGCGTAGAATTTGCGTAGATTTTCCGATGCCTCATCTTTATATAGAGTCTTCGGGCGGGAGTAATTATTAGTAACGCTGGGTTCCCCACCTAGTATTTAATAAATCAAAAACATAAAGGAAGATTAACTTATTATAACTCTTTTTAAAGTCTTGATATTAGTTAAAACCATTGTTAGTTAATCAACCAAGCTTTTAAATCTTTAATTCATAAAATGATTTAGTTTTTATTTCCCTAGATACTATACTGTGTAGTTAGTCATTAAGTCCTAATCAGAAATTGAACTCAGATCAAGTTCGGATATTCCAGATTATCAAAACTGAACGCAGCTCATGTTCTTGTTGAAGTTACCTTTACGTGGACTGAGAGTTGAAAGACAGGTTTATTACATTGTTGACACCACTCCAGGTTTTCCATGAGAACTGAGTGAGCCTCGTGGAAATGTTTAAACATTTCTTCACGCCGAGAAAGCATTTCACAACAGCCTTCCAGGTCACAAGAGATCTTAACAAAAATAAAAGAATTTTTTTTTAAAGCTACTATAGTATAGTTAGTTGGTTATCGGATAATGTTTAGAAATATGATCATTATTCATTGAAACATCATTCCGTTTCCGCAATATACACGCCTCTTATAAGAAAAGAAAGAAGGAAATCATAAAAACATGAGAAAAAATAAAATAATCACTTTTCCTGTGATCCAGGTATATCTGTTCACTGACTGGCTTAAAATAGTCTCGATTGACCTTTCTTAGCCTACTGGTCAGGACATGTAATTCACGTCTTTTGATTACCTAATACCTATCCTCTGATAGGGTCAATTACAGATAAGTATTAAAAAGTTAAGACAGCATTTTAATTTTTTTTCTGCCCCTCCTTTTAACATCAATTACATATTTATACCCCAGGTTAAAAATGACTAAAAAATATAAAATTATATTGAAAAATAACCAACCTTTTCTTTGGAGTGCTCTAATGAGTGTTCTGAAAGATAACAGGAGTAGACTGAAGATTTACATATCCCACACTCCACTTTGTGGTCCTGCAAATATCATTATTATTATTATTATCATTATCAAAGAACAGCTCGGCAGAGACCGACTTTAAAGAATCTGAGACGCGGCTCAAATATGGTTGGTTCCACTTAAAATTGTTTTCAATGTTTCAAGATTTAAGCCGGTATTCAATATAAACCGGGTTTTTTTTGCGGATTTGAGACACGGCTAAAATTTATTAAATTAGGACTCAAAGATTATATAATTTGATTTTTGATTCTATTTTACATTAAAAATACATTTACCTTTTCAAAATGCTTCTTTATGTGCTCAATAACTCCATACTCAGTTCTAAACGTTTTCCCACAAGGTCCAGTTTTGGTCTCCGTCAACATCTAAATATTCAATTCGATATTTAAAGGGATTGTTTAATTATTTTAAAATCATACTAAAGCACCAATCGGTTTAAAAAGGATTTTCATAGTAACTAATGTCTCTGAGAGAAGAAAATAGTAGATTAAAGTGAAAGTAAAAACCGACATTTACAAACTTAATCAAAAAGTGATAGTTATCGTTCTCGCTCTCAAGGACATATTTGGGTGGTAAAAAGGCTTAGAAGTATTTCTTATTAAAAAAAAAATCGGATATTAAGTAATTTGAAATTTGAAAAATTTTGGGGAAGGTAGAGTGGTTTAAAAAAGCCGATTTCGTGTACATCAGCACATAACAGGCTATATCTTTTAAACTATCATTACTAGAAAAAAAGGTACTTGTGTGGGGTGATATAAAAAATTCAGCAAGAAAGGATCTCATTCTTTTCTCACATTTTAGTTTTTATTTCTTGTTCTTTGCCTACCTTGCATGAGAACTGGAGACCAGTGTGCACAGAATTAATATGGAAACTAAGAGACCGGTCGTAATTAAACCCTAAAAAGTTATAGTTTAAATACGCACCATTCCAAACATCCAAAAATGCAAGTAAATACTTAATTTTGTTCTAAATTGAAAGAGACGATGCACCATGGACCTCATTTATAACATTAATCTGTATAATCGGTACTGTACATGAATATGATTCTATTGTACTAACCTGCTTGACAGAATTTACAGTAGTGTGAAAATATGCCATGATGATCCTTCCTGACGTGTCTTCCCATCTCATCCGGAGCTAATTGTTTATCACAGAACTCGCACTTCACTTTGTAGTTCAGATGTTTACGTAGGTAATGCCGGTCCATGTCCGCCTGATAAATTATACAGGGTTACCCACAAAGGATGAGATTTCAAAGACGACTCTACGCAATTTAAACTGTTCGTTTCATAATATTCAGGATTCCCTGCAATTTTGAAATTTTCTCTCACTTTTTTAAATCATTAAATATGCCATTATAAGACTAATTTTAATGCACAAGTCTTAATCATAATATTTTAAAAGTTTCACGTCGTCTTTACAGTCTCAACCTTTGTGGATTACCCTGTACATAAATACTAAAAATTACAAAATCACATTGATAAGGATCTGTCTATTTGGATTTGAATCTGAATTAAAACTTTAAAAACACAAGTTTGGATTCAAAACGGGATTCGAATTACAGTTAGTTAAAACTTTTGATTTTTTTCCCTTAACAGTGAATTTAAAAAAATGCAGCGCCACCCCATTCACACAACCTATATCTAGGTTCCGTTCATGGCTGCACTATCTCTCCTGATCCCCTCTGGAATCCTCCAGGATGGCACTGCTATATGTCTGATACTTTGTGATCTTTATTATGTCCTTGTCTATCTTTCTTTACCATGTCATATCTCTAGCAGTGTCCTTTTTCCAGATACTGATGTACCGAAGACCTTAAGGCCTTTCTGTGTTTACTTCGTATACAAGTCTGATCCTCGTCTCTTCTCGTTCTTCTCGAAACCCCAGAGGACTGATCCGGAAGCGCACCTGTTCCTGTTGCTTGTGCGGTACAAGGTGGTCCCTCTCCTTGCTCATCTCCCTGCTCCTCACCTATACGAGACCGCGCGCCCAAACGCGCTCGGACTGAACTAGGAGGACTTGCTCTAGCTGAGCAGATACCCAAGGTATGTAGGCTTACGCAGACAAAGCTTAAATAGTTGGTTCGAAATTTTGATCGAAAGTTTGAATTGGATAATTTGAGCACTGAGCAATATTTTCAAAAAACTATTTATTTTTATTTCATTAAACATCAGCAATTATATTTTTTGATCATCAAAATCAAATTATAATGACAAAAAGTCCAAACAAAATTTATTATAAAATCACCTTGCAGGTGTAGGACTTCCCACATCCGGCCGAGCAATCTATTCTAGGTTTTACTTTTCCATGCATCTTCCGAATATGCTGTTCCAGATACGGAGCCTGGAACCAACACAAAACCTTCATGCTAATTTCTTGCGCACATAGGAAAATATCGGGATTAGAGTAAAAAAAAGAAAAAAAAATACTTAGCTCTTGTATTCCCTATCATGCCATTCTGCCAGTTTAAAATCTAATTTGAAGTATTGCGAATTATTAAAAATAAAAAAACATAAAATTTCTAGGTCAATGTTGTGTATGTGAATAAATTGCGGTAAAATTGAACGACCACATGAAGATTTGTTTCCTTGACTGAAGAACCGCAGTGTGGGCAATCCTTCCTAAGTTTCATGTGAACTCCGTTTATATGAGCCTGAAGCTGAACAAACAAATAAAATGATAAGTTCTTAAACACATTAAAGGGACTGCACACTTAATTTCAATTGACTCTCCATTTATAGAGTGGTATGTTAGATTTATAACGATACGCTGATATCTCTCTTTTTATATCTTAAAATGGATTATTTTCAACTGCGGGTTCTAAGAGACTTGCAAAATAGAAATAAATAAATTTAGTTTTGAAGAGAGAAATATGATAATATCTTTATCATTATTGCTAAAACTAAAGGTGAAGAATACTATTGTGACTCGGACGTAAAACTTGATAAAAGGACTGTTTACAGTATCAAACAATTTGAAGAACGCTGAACAAGACTAAATAAGTTAATGCGACGTCATCAAAAACTGACATTATAAATTATTTCAATAGGCTTGTTAAAATATGAACCATGCTTTCGTTTAAGGAGAAAAAAATCCAGGAACAATCGGATATGTTACAATAAAGAAAAGGAAAATTGTTTCATAACAAAAAATGGTGAAATAAAAATATTTATAAATGTAACAGTTCTTACCCTAGCTTGGCTTATAAAGAGTTGAGAGCATTGGTTACAGGAGAAGTTCTTAATCTTGTTGTGAACATTCCTGAAGTACAATAATCAAACACGTGGCACAAACCAATATTAAGAATTCAATCACGGAGTACAGGTTCGGGGTTAAAATGCCTTTGGCTTTAGTTTCAAAAAAAACCCTCTCTTAATTTCATAGAAATGCTTAAATCTGAATTCCATGTTCAAATAAATGAGTTTAAAAGTGAAATGTATGATAGCATTTTAAATTCTATTTATCATATCTCTGTGAGTTGAAAAAGTAAATACCTCATATGGTTCTGAATGTCTACAACTGTTTTCCCACACCCATCTATTGGACAGGGGGTTCTTATTCCAACCCAGGGTTTCCCCTTGTGGTTCACTTTAATATGGGAGACAAGGTCCTTCACATCATCAGCAGAACAGTACGGACAACTCTAGAATAGATCAGTCCTTACAATCAATAGGCATCCAGATCCAGATCCAGATCCAGATCCAGATCCAGTGGGTGTTTGCTTTCATCACAAAGTTTCAGCTAGGGGTTTCAAGTCCGTCACGGACGATAAAGTTTTGAGCCTTGAACCATATTAAAGCACCTTTCAATATCAATTATTCGTTCAACGTGGTTTATGATCATTACAATTAAATACAATAAAATTCAATCTAAATTCTTATTATTTTGAGAAAAAGCAGGGGGACAATGTCTTGAATAAATGAATGGGGGGGTATGAAAGGAGGGGGTGACAGTGACAGATTGATATTATTTACCCGGTAATAGCAATTTACTCCGTTGATTACTTCTTTTCTCATAACACTCGTCAAACCCTAGGAAAAAATTAGACTCTCATATTTAAATAAAAAAAATAATTCGCTTCAACATTTTTTACACAAAAAATTACGTGGAGCCTAACATATTTTCATGTGCGTTAGGAAAAAAAATTTGCCTTGGTTTTATACCATGTAATACAAAGGTTTTTGATTTCATTTCTTCAAAGGTCCCTTGCTTAAGATATAAAAGGAAAACCGGATAAAAAAATTAAAAATGCCAAGAACATTATGGACTTTTTTTGGTCCCCTTTAGTCCTTAGGTCACTGATCCTGTAACATGTCTGTATCGTTATCCTTTACCAAACATCCCTGTGATCAATGGTTAAAAACGCAGTCGTAAGAGCATATTTTAAAGATTCATTAAGAAATTAACAGAACCTACAATTTCCACCTAAATTCCAACAAAAATTCTTAAAGTTTAAAAATGAGAACACCAATTATGCCTAACATTTTAAGGCCTCAAAAACAAAAGAATCGAAGAATTTACAGAATGTCAAAGACAAAAATCGAAGAATTTACAGACTGTCAAAAACAAAAGAAGCAAAGAATTTACAGATTGTCAAAAACAAAAGAATCGAAGAATTTACAGACTGTCAAAAACAAAAGAATCGAAGAATTTACAGACTGTCAAAAACAAAAGAAGCGAAGAATTTACAGATTGTTAAAAACAAAAGAATCGAAGAATTTACAGACTGTCAAAAACAAAAGAATCGAAGAATTCGCAGAATGTCAAAAACAAAAGAATCGAAAAATTTACAGATTGTCAAATACCACCATGAGGGTCTGATACTTACGTTAGTTTCTTCCATATATTGCTCAATCTTAGCCATGGTCTCTTCCTCTTCCTCCACTTCTACTTTTTCCTCCTGTATTTCAACTTTAGGTTCCTTCTTAGTCGTCTTCTTCCCGCGCTTCGGGGTAGACATCTTTTTATGCGGCATTTTTTATTTCTGAAGAAATACTTTGAAAAAATTAATAAGGATTATCACGTTTAGAAATTTTATTTTTAATCTTAAAAGTTTCTGTTATTTGTTGAACTGCAGGTTGATCTCCTGTTCTCCAGACTGCAACTACACCGCCCTGGATCAAGGTTCAGTCTTAAACCATCAACTTATTCAATTGAAATGATTAACTGAAAGAGTTTGTAAGCGTAATTTTAAGTGACCTCCACGCAAAGATTGCAGTACCCGTCTGATCAAAAATGAATTAGATTTGAAACCAAACAATAACATTGGTATACCGGCCTCCGCGCTCGAGAATAGAAAACACAAGCGAAGTGTGCAAACTTTATAGAAATTCAGGGGAAAATAGTATTCCAATTGGAGATTTAAACTTTCCGACGATCAATTAGGATGAATTTACATCGGACAGAAATTGTGAAAATTTTCTAGTGTACCTTGGACAATAATTTCCAACAATCAGTGACTTCTCCGACACGTGTACGCGGGAATGTACTGGATTTAATATTTACAAATCGTCTAGAAAACATAATAAATGTAGAATCTCTTGGTAACCTGTCGAACAGCAACCATTCAATTTTATCTATCGCCGTGATATTTAAATCGATATTTAAAATGAGAAACTAAAGATAATGGAATCAGGATCAGTGTTTAGGACGCTAAAACTCGAGATGTATGGACTGGTGCCAATACTGTTTCCAGATATCTGCACTATGGACCAAGAGGCCCTCTTTTAAATGTCCCATCTCTCTTTGGACATTTTTTCGTCCACTTGCAATAGAAAATACCAATTTCCAGACATCAAATTAACTTAACTTTTAGGCAATACATGTCAAAATACGAATTTGTTTCAGTTTCGGACTGATCCTTTCCTCTGATCCCGTGATAAACCCTGAGTAGGATGGAAGCTGAGCACTGCACCGAACTATCCCTCCTCCAACCTTTCCATCCTTCAGATCTCCACACGGTTTCAGCTTCTTATTCTTGAGGGTAGTGAGACGGAGACAAGGGTCTAGGGAGTACCTGGAGCCGGCTAGGACGAGGAAACCTTGCTCCTCCTGATCATGCATCCCGACAATATAGGAGTGCTCAGGAACAGTTCTTCGGATACTATGACACACATCACTCCTGTAGAATAGAAAGTATGGACTAAAATGTTAAAAAACGTCTTAGAATTCTTTTTTGGTGAAGTAAATAATGAAAAAACAACTGTGAAATAAAGAAATAGACAACTGTTCCATTTTGAAAAAGCAAATTTTAATAAAAATGGAATATAGATATTTAGTAGTAATCTATGGTTGATTATGTCTCATAAACCCCTGACCGATTTGTCTCAAATTTTGATTGGGGGAACTCGGGAGAATCACGGGAATGTTCTTAGCTTGAAATTCTAAGTTGAGTGGGTCGACTTGTATAGGAAAAACTCCAGGAAAAGCTGAGTTCCTAAGCTATTAAATATTATTTATGTTCATTATTAAGAGAAAAAAGTATACTATTAAAAACATGGATTCCTGGGATAGGGTGAAATTATCTAAGAACATTAAGTACCTTGCAATAGTTTGATATGGTTGATAATCATCAGTATCCCAGAGTTGTATACTCTCAGTATGCGTAGCTATCCCTAGATACCTAGATACGCAAATTTAAAATACTCTAAAGCGTCATCAATGCTTAGTAAGAATCAACTAAGAATGGAATAGTAGAAAAGATAAAAGTTTGAGGCACGAAATATTTATAAAAAAAACTTAAATTAAAATCAATAAAATTGAATTAACAACAAAAAATAAAGCTGAAGCCACAAAGTGAACATTGGAACTGAACAAAATAATTGTAAAATTTTTGAAAATGCATTTGAATATAATCTATTAAAGGAGTTAAAGCGGATTCGATAGCAAAGATCCAAGCTCGGTTTGAATGAATAGCAAGAAAAAGATGAACAAGGTACTGGTAGATGGTTCAGCTACTTCTTATATGTAGCTAAAAGTAGTTCAACTTTTCCTAACCAAGTTAAACCATCTCTTACAAAAACTAAAAATAATAACAAAGATAGTATATACTGCAAGCTGGAGTCATAGTTAACAAGGATAATGATCTAACCTGAGATTATTTTTTTTACTAAACCAGTGTAAACTAGATACACTATCCTCTGTATTATGGCAGGTTAGTAGAGCATCATCTTCCTAAATACATATTTCAATTTTTTTTTGAGCTGATTTGGGGGAAAAAGATATTTTTTACAGTTTCGATACATTTCCATAACACAATGTAGTTTCCCTCACCCAGCAATTTGAAATTTAAAATGTAAAACCTTATTTTTGACATATTTTTTGAAAAAGTATAATCATTTGTGAGGACAGGGTATTTATTAACTACATATTCGGTGGATTATTTGCTTAAATATGGTTCTTCATGTTCATGGAGAAACTTCCAAACAAATTAACACTTTCCTATATCGCAAACTTTCTAATCCCTATCTTTTTAACCTAATGGTGTAAACCTTTGACTAGTAACTTTAGTACAATTAGTGTATTAAATATAAAAAGTCTGTCTGGAAGAAAATAGCGGGATTTGAGGCAAGTGTTCGATTTCTTTGTCACTGTCAGATATTTGACGCTCATAAAAAAATCTTAATTTTTAACTAAAACCTTCTTGAATAATCATTTTCCCAAAGTAAATAATTTCAATAGATTCTATCTATTCCTTTCCTTTCCTTTTATTTCTAATTTTTATAGTGTTTTAGAATTGGGGAAAATATTCCAACAACCTCTATTTTTGGAGGTTTTCAAATATTTTCTCCTTGAACAATTAATTTTGTATGTTTTTGTTATTTTTCATAAATAAATGATTACTTACTTATACTTACTACCAAGATTTGATGTCAAATTAGAATATTTAGTTCACTGAGTTACCTTTCCCTCGTTGAGATCAAAAACATTTACAAGACCATCTGTTGAACCACTCGCCATACTGTCATTCTTCTCAGGGTGAAATCTAAACTAACATTTAGTAATACGTTCTTCTAATTTGTGTTCAGTTATAATTATTTTTTCAATTTTCCCCCCCTTAATGTTAGAATTACAACAGAACTTATCTTTTTATTATGTGGCATTCGGTCTAGCCGTTTGGCCAGCTGTAGCTGACATATATATAATATATAACTATGAAGCAATAATCAGAACAGCTTCTCAATTGTTCATATTTATTAATACTAATTGTTTCGGATTGCTCCTCTTCAGCTAATAAACATGGTCAGTTTTTTCTTTACTTAAAAAGTTTTTTTAGAGTTTATAAGTTTGATACAAACCTAATAATACTTATATTTTCGTAAATTTCATACAAAGTAATTTTTATATGTCTTTAGGTTTTCATAATACGTATTTGTACATTGCTCCTCTTCAGTTAATAAACATGGATAACTGATGTTTTACAGTTCAATGATTATGATTTTATAAATTTTTTAACCTATAATTTTTTAAATCTATATATAAATTTGGCTTGTCTGTCTGTTTGTTTGTCGGTCTGTCCAATAAACGTCAAAACGGCTGAACCGATCGGGCCCAATTTTTTTGTGGGACCTCACGTAACCACAGGGAAGGTTTATGAATGATCAAAATTTCAAATATTTGTCTCCATCAAAATTCGATCTTCATTAAATTTTTGAAAATTTTGAAAATCCACGAAAAATTTTGTGAAAATCGCGAATTATTTTTGTTTTGTTTTACGATGTACACAAAGAGAACATGTTCACAATTAATTTAGAAGATGGGCGCGAAGCGCCCTCTAANTCATGTTTAATGTGTATATGCTAGTTACATGCCCAATCCACAACCGTTCCCTACACACCGTTCATGTTTAATGTGTATATACTAGTTACATGCCTGATCCACAACCGTTCCCTACAAACCCTTGTCGATTCAAGGATGAATGCAGTATCCTTATTTTTACAGCGGAAAAAAATTAATATTTTTAATCGTGAATTCTCTATAAAAGTGACTTACGGATTTATGCTACACAGCCAATACATGCAACCATGATAATTTAACACTGTTCCAAGAGGCTGAATGGTATCGTTGTAAATCGTGCATGGAGGGTCAGTTAAAATGAGGTCACTAAGAGAATTCTTTTATTTTTTAAATTAGCTTACTTAATACACGTAATATCGTCTTCATGTGACTCCCAGTATCCTCCCATCAGAGGTCCTGCTCTCATATCCCAGAATAATAGATAAGCGTCCTGTCCAACCTAAACACGGCTTATTTACTCAATATGCGCCCTGTCCACCCTAAACACGATATATCTACTCAATATGCGTACTGTCCAACCTAAACACGGTTTATCTACTCAATATGCGTCCTGTCCAACCTAAACACGGTTTATCTACTAAATATGCGTCCTGTCCAACCTGAACACGGTTTATGTACTCAATATGTGTCCTGTCCAACCTAAACAAGGTTTATTTACTCAATATGCGTCCTGTCCACCCTAAACACGGTTTATCTACTCAATATGCGTCCTGTCCAACCTAAACACGGTTTATCTACTAAATATGCGTCCTGTCCAACCTAAACACGGTTTATCTACTCAATATGCGTCCTGTCCAACCTAAATACGGTTTATTTACTCAATATGTGTCCTGTCCAACCTAAACACGGTTTATTTACTCAATATGCGTCCTGTTGTCCAACATAAAACGGTGTTTTCTACTCAATATGCGTCCTGTCCAATCTAAAAACGGTTATTTACTCAATATGCGTCCTGTTGTCCAATCTAAAAACGGTTTATATACTCAATATGCGTCCTGTCCAACCTAAACACGGTTTATATACTCAATATGCGTCCTGTCCAACTTAAATACGGTTTATTGACTCAATATGCGTCCTGTCCAACCTAAACACGGTTTATATACTCAATAAGCGTCCTGTCCAACCTAAACACGGTTTATTTACTCAATATGCGTCCTGTCCAACCTAAACACGGTTTATATACTCAATAAGCGTCCTGTCCAACCTAAACACGGTTTATTTACTCAATATCCAACCTAAATACGGTTTATTTACTCAATATGTGTCCTGTCCAACCTAAACACGGTTTATTTACTCAATATGCGTCCTGTTGTCCAACATAAAAACGGTGTTATCTACTCAATATGCGTCCTGTCCAATCTAAAAACGTTTATTTACTCAATATGCGTCCAGAGTCTAAAACTAAAGAACGAACAGTTTTGACTTAAATTTTAAGTTCATGGTTAAATGCCACTTCTGACTTAATTTAAACCTAAACTTTAACCGTGAGGTTAAATATTTAACCCTGTGGTTAAATATTTAACTCGCCGAAATCGACGAGTTAAAATTTAAACACAGGGTTAAAATCTTGAAATCCTGCATTTTCCATTTGTCTATTATTCAATCATCATTCAGCTGAGAAAGTGGCATTCAACTTTACGATATTTTTAAAAGTGAAAACCTTGTTAAAGAAATTTTTCGTTTTAGATTAATTAATTTTTGCATGTAAACCCAAAATACGGTTGTAACTCGAAATATGTTTTGTTTTCGGTTACGTAATCAGCTGATTAGCGACGGTTATGTAATATTCTCCGTAAATCCTTTTCTCTGATTGGTTCAGATTTTCCCGGGAAATTCAAATTTAAAATTGAGAAAGTTTAATATTTAAGTAGCTATTCATTATTTTACAGAACTTTTAACCTCGAACTTAAAATTCGCGCATTCTTTAGTTTTAGACTCTGTTGTCCAATCTAAAAACGGTTTATATACTCAATATGCGTCCTGTCCAATCTAAAAACGGTTTATTTACTCAATATGCGTCCTGTCCAACCTAAACACGGTTTATTTAGTCAATATGGGACCTGTCCATTGTCCAATCTAAAAACGGTTAATCTACTCAATATGCATCCTGCCCAACCTAAATACGGGTTATCTACTCTACTTTTAATAAAAAAAGTATTACTGGAACACGTACTAATTTATTCATTCTTAACGATGAAGCCGAGAATCTCCTAAAATTGATTCAATTCTAGAAAAGATATACTTCTGTAAACTTTCAAAAAACCCTTAATTACCTGTTCTGTACCAGCACAGACAACCCTGGAGTCCCTGGATGTATCAAAGCAGAGGATTGGTTTCTCCGGGTTCCTGGGCGGACCTTCGTGTTTAGTGTGGTCAGATGTATCCTGATATCAACAGCTGATTATTAAACAACTAGATTTTTTTCTTCAAATATCGTTGCAATAAATGTTCTTAAATCCACGATGTTAGAAAGAAACTTTTGGATTTCTTAGAAAGCTAAAAATTTAAATCATCTAAATCATTTGCAAAACTTCATTTAAATATGACCAAAAATAAATGGCAAAAGACGCACTTTTCGCATATTAAAGTTTTATTATGTGATTGAACTTTTATCTAACATAAGGTGTGAAATTATGCGTAACAGTAAGATATTTCCGTAATGATTATTTAACAGTAGTCAGCCTAACCTGCCTTAAATTCTCTACTTGCTTTTTCTGAGCACCTGGGATGCAAATAGATGAAAACTTGTAGAACTTTTAGATAATTATTTATACATATTTTATCTTTTCTCAATTTTTATTATTAATTGTCTCACCCGAATAAATGTGATGAACAAATGTTAGTTTAGCTTTATTCTATTTCATTTATATTTCATTTTATTTTTCGTTTAGATTTTCATTAAGTTTTTTATTATGTTTCATTAATTTTTCATCATTTTTTCATTATTTTTTTCATCCCAGTTTTCATCCTATTTTTTCAACTAATTTTTTGATTCATATTTTTCATAAATTTGTCATAAGATTTTCATTTATTCCTGAGATCCCAGAGTTTAATAGTACAGTCGGAGGACGAAGTGAACAGAAGTTGAGGATCAGTTTTACTAAATATGGATTATGGAATTATGACGCCAGAATTTTTTTAATTTTTATTTTAAGAATTTGATTGATTTCAAAATATCTGTTTGTTATCAAACCTGGGACCAAATTAAAAGAATTTGTGTTAGGTCGCTTGACTTCATAGTACATTTAGTACCTACATTTAAAACATTCAATCGCCGATTCAAAGTTGATTCATGAGGATTTGAATCAGTAAATCAGCATTTGAACCGGTGGTATTTTTTTCTTCATATTTTTCTATCACCCCACCATCCTCCGTTAAATATTTATATTCACCAAACACCAAACAAGAGGGCTTGGTTAAAACAACCTTTGGTTTCCTCTCAGGAACTTCTTTTTATATGTTTTAATTTATTTTTGTATGGCATGCCGCTTGTTCGTTTTTCCTTTCCACAACATGAGTTTCCTGTCAGTGTTGAATATTTGTAGTTTTAACCAAATCAATTTCTTAATAATGGGTTTCCATGATTCTGATACCTGAATGATGTTTGTGTAATAGACTTCTCATGAGGTTCAAGTTTGCACAAGGTTGTGAGGGACTCCGTGTACACGTTCACGTGCCTGTTAGAGAAGGATGCACAGTACTTTGTGCCATCACAATTCAGGTCGACGTTCAGGACATACGCCTTGTTCAAGGACAGTGTGGAGTGCGCCAGGTAGTACGGAGAACTGAAAACCTCGTTGAAATCTCCAATAAGGTCGTCTTTGTCGAGTAGAGACTCTGCATAATATAAATTCAAATATTTCACTTTTTGTCATTTACATAATGAAAGTATCTTTTACAAGAATTTCTAACAAAATGTATATGAAGGACCATCAAAATTTACAGAACTTGTGTTAAAGGGATAAAAAAACAAATCCAAAGAAATTAGATAGAAAATAATAAATAAAAACTGTTCTTTCAAAAGATTAAAGGTTGTATTATGATGTTTTTAACACGCCCACCACTCGTTTTAAAGCTCAAAAACCATTGAAATAAATCTAAATTCCTAGATCAACGTCCTCCAACGACATTTTTTCTGAAATAATAAAAAAAATTTACGTCCACAACTTGATGTAACTGTCAGCTCCCGCAGACAGCAACCAAGGTTGGAATGGATGCCATTGCAAACTCATTACACCGAAATCGTCGTAGGTGGTGTGCCCCTGGAGCTTCTTCACGGGAACAATGAGGGGGTTCTGCAAAAGGTCGGAGTACACCATGCCGTGGCTCACCGTGATGTTCCGATCGTCTCCGGCCGAGGCGAAGAGCGGATACCGCTTGTGGTACTCGACAGTTCTAACTGCGTTTGTGTGATAGCGAAGAGTCTGGTAAGGCATACTTGACAAGTCGAGGTCGAACCATTGAACCTTCTTGTCGAAGGTTCCAAGGAGAAGATTGTCGCCACCAGGATGGATCGACATGGAAGATATCCATTTAGCACCAGACATCAATTTCTTTGACAACTCCTGAGAAAAACGATAAACTTTAAAGTTAAAAAATCTTCCTGTGATAATTTAATTTCAACAAATTGAAATAAAAATTGTGCCATACATCACAAGGATAAGTTGTACCTGTTTAACTAGATCGTAGACTCTGACGTGCTTCTGGGTCGCAACAAACAGATAGGGTCGGATAGGATGGAACAGAACACTCTGAACCTGACCCTTAGACTTGGAGAAAGGTAGCTGCGTTCTCCACTTGGACAGTTGATGTATCATCACTGATCTTTGCGCTCCTTCAGGTAGAACCGTTGCAAAATAATCTCCCTTACCGTGCCAGGTCACCTGTTTGACCGGCTTGAAATGATTTATGACAACCAGGGTTCCTGGCGGATACTCCTCTCCACCTCCCATCCATTTAACCGCCTGTGCTAGACGAACTGGGGGCACGTACCCAGTATTATCCGGTTCCTCGGAGAGAAGTTCCGTCGTTCTATCATTTACTAGTTTATCTCCAACTCCGGTGTTTATCAATAAAACCTAGAGATAGTTAGAGAGGTAAGATAAAACAGACAATGATAAGTTGAAAATAAAACAAAACATTAAAAATTCAATATAAAAAAATTGTACGGTACCTTGGTATCAACTGCAATAGCTACGAGTGTAAGTGCTGAGTTGGGACACCAAGCAACACACTTCACTACACCCCCAACCTCCCAGGTCTTCAAGCAACGCCCAGTAGACACCTCCCAAATCTGAAGAAAAAAGAGGTATACAGGGGGGATATATTTAGTTGACCAATCCCCGCTCAGTTTTTTAATTGTAATCTTTTTGAAATTAAAAATGCAAAATTGGGGAAAATAAATGATTTTCTTGTTGAAGAGTAACAAAAAGGTGGGAAGTCGAAATTCCTATTTTTTCCCTCGAATTTTATTAAAACTTCAAAATAAATCTAAGCGCAAAACAATTTAGAAAATTATAATAAAAAACTAAAAAAAACTAATAAAATACTTTTTCTTTACCTTGCAACTTCCATCGTCGCTGCCTGAGATAAAATATTGTCCCTGAGGTTCCACACTGATACTCCGAACCATGTTCTTGTGACCCTAGAGCAGAATTTTACAGTTTTAAAATTAAACCAAATATCTTGTAAAAACAGGTTCAATTAGAGCTAGGAAAATCTACCGGGGAGATCTCTGTTAACATAAGTATTTTGGTCAAGTAGAGAGAATTATTCCATTCAAATAATTTTTAATTTTCCTCAATATCACAAATATTATAACAAAATGTTATCGCTAACGATGTTTGACGGATTTCAAAACATTTACTAACATTATTTATGATGATTTATGATCAATGCTATTACTAGATCGACGATCAATGATCAATGATCATCATGTAATGGCAATATTTACCGTGTAGGTGATACTGTTCACTGTAGGGAAGGGTTGAAGATCCTGAGGTCGAGGGAGCTGAGGAACAAGATCCTCAGGTTGGATAGTTAATCGCATTCTCCGGGCTCTTGGAGCCAGATACAGATCCATACAACGATCAAATCTCTCCTACATACAGGATTGACAATATTATGGATCCAAAACCTTTGTTACAGATTGAGGTCTTCAAAAAAATGGAACAGGCTACAATGTACCAACTTTTTTTTTATCTACAGGTAAAATTAAATATTAAAATTAAAGAAAACAAATTTTTAACCTTGCAGAAATCTGTCCATGCGGGAACCTTCCTCAAAGAAGAATATTTCTGCGGGATGAACGGGAGTTTTCTCCTGAACCCGTCTTCAGTCGCCTTCTCCCACTCCTTCTTCTCCCTCTCCGTGAACAGGTATTCCGGAGGAGGGTTGTACGACTCCTCGTGTCCAGGCAACTTCATTTTCGGAGCAGGGATCGGATCAAAAATTCTGCGGATATTATCATCAACCTGATCATCAGTCTGCCACAGCATGTAGAACTTCTTGGAGTCATCCTCTTCGGGTTTAGCCTGCCGGGGCTTCATCCAACCCATCTTGATCGCGTGAACCATCTTGCTGACCTTCTTCTTCTCCCAGACAGAGGGAAGGAAGGACGCCTTAGTCTCCGGTATATCTCGGAGCGGAGTCTGCATGACGTCACTGGAGAACCACTCCGACCACTCTTCGTATAGATTATATCCTGCTTGTGGAACACGGCCGTTCTGCAGACGTTTAACCATCTCAGCATCCTTCTCACTGGAAAACAAAATATCTTGCTTTGTGATTGGTTAAAATTCATAACTTTTGAAATACAATTAAAATTGAAAATATACAATGTGCTAAAAAGACATTTGATGTGCAAGAAAAGTTTGTAAAATAGTGGAAAAGAGTATAATTAACATTAAAAAGTCAGCAGACGCAATATAATAGATATAACTATTTTCAGTTACATATATATTGTTTTATGCAAAACCTTTACAATCATGAATATTTTTTATGCAATATGCATCCAAAGAGGTTTTTTTAACACAATCTGAATCATAGTTTTGTAGAGTTCAAAATTCGAATAAGAGAAAAAAGTTAAATTTTGAGAATTTGTCAAAAAGAACGTGATTGTTTATTACAACTTGAGCTCTGACCCACCTGAGCACAACACCTTGGCCTGTCAGAGGATCGTCGACCGTAACACCGTGGTTCGGGTTCTCCATCTTGCTGAGGAACAGTTCAAGTTCATCTCCGCGTTTAGGTTTACGAATAGGTTTACCGTCAAGATCATATCCAATATGCGGATATTCATCGTACCAGTTGGTCGGGATATTTCCAATAGTGTTCCTGGAATAAAGTTAATCTTAAAAATATTTTTTTTATTCGAAAATACATTTCAGACCTGCTTTGATTTACAAACAAGGAGGAATGATTTTTGAATTTTGAATATAATAATGCTAATTATTTCGTCCTTTTTCGTATTTTCACCCAAATGTTATTTATCGAACACAAATAAACCCTAAATATTTTTATGGCAACCTGCCCTAACATAACTAAATTCTGGAGAAATGATGTTAAAAGAAAATATACACCTGTGTTTACAGATATTCCTAAGGATAATTGAATTTACCCAGGGTTGAACTGTATAGCATACATAAGCCTGTCAAAGCTGTCATTTCGCTTAGAAACAACCATTTCTTTCTGAACAACTTAATTCATAGATTCCAAATAACCTGATAGGTTTCCTGATTTTTACATCGAACAAGGATAATTTGCATTAAGACATGGCTTATAAAGCTAGTTTTGAAGATTGATAATGTTTCCAGGTGTGAATATTTTCTTCAAAAATCATCTATTTTTACGGTTTCATTAGCTAAGTTGAGGAAGGGCGGGGAAACTTTTACCCCAAAAGCATAAGAAAACATGGGGGGGTATTTCCCAAAATATATACCCCTTTTCGGTCTAAATTACCAAATGTTTCTTCAATCTCATAAATAGAAAACAACGAATAGTTTGAAATAAGGTGAACAGCATATCATCATCTGTCATATATGAATATCAAAGCACAACTTTTACGATAGATTTAGGCCTCCTATTAAAATTTTACACAATTAATGTTGAAAACATATGTTCCGTGAGTGTATAATCTAAAAAGCAGTTCGTTCCAATACCAACTATTTTTATAATTTAAAAAAGAAAAATGTTTATAAGTGTAATTTTTCTTGTTTATATAATTTTGTAAAATCCATTTCGTTACGAAAAACATGTTCTTTATACCTGACATCTTCTTCATCAGAGCTATCATACGCATATTCATCAATAGGTTGGATACCTTCCCCACCCTCTCCTTTGCTTGAACCCTCCCCACCCCCAGATACAGATTGTAAATTTAAAAGAAAATCTCGGCGGGATTTCTTTTTTTTCACTATTAGATCACTTTTATTGGCGCTTGATTCGGTATTTTTATCTTCTTTGTCACTTTCATCATCGCCATCACTTTTGTCATCGTCAACATTGTCATCATCAACCTCTTCTTCCTCCCCCTCCTCTTCACTATCTTCTTCGAGTTCAGAATATTCACTAGAATCAGAATCGTCGCTGTCCTTATCATCATCAGATCTAGAATACAAAATGTTTACCGGCGCGCTTTATTTCAAGATACCCCCCCCCCTCTCCTTTTATTACATTAAATATGCATGAAATGAATTTCTGGACCAAGCGCTGAGGCTGGGACAGGCAAAGGGGCCGGACGCTACGGCCAAACGGTAAGCTATGACCATGAGAAATGTATGAATAATAATGGGTATATTCCTATAGAACGATTTTTGGCCCCCCAAAACCCTGATAAAGCCGAAATATTTAATAATATATAAATAAAACGAAGTTACGAAAAATAACTTAAAATAACTTGTTGCATACGAAACATTTTTGTTCTCATCAAAGCAGTATAGTTCAATGGCCAACCTGTCTAAATCAAGATCTCCAAGAGCTTCATCCTCTGATTCTGCAATTTTCCCAACCTTCTCAATTTCCTCAACCTCGTTCTTCTCCTCCACCATCTTCCTCTTTCCTTTCTTACTCGACATTTTAAAAATATTCAAATCTGTAAATTTTAAATTTAGTTATTTAACAATTAGGTAATTGATAAAATTTGTTTAAGTGTTTTCAGATGTCACAATTCTCGACTGTAATGACGCGCACTCCGCACATGGAATTGTTTCCAAACTAACTTCTCGCGCTCCCAGCTGATAAAATGAAAATGTCGTCGTTGTATCAGTAGAATCAGGGGTATGTTACATCGTCTATACGCAACATCCCCCCTACTGAACTTCTGACCTACTAACTTTCCGACCTACTGCAATATCGGACCTACGCCAGTGCAGCTGTTTATTTTAGTATTATTTGAGGGATAGGTTAGGTTAAGGCAATTTCTGGGCCGAGCGCTGCGGCTAAGACAGGCTAGCTGGGCCGAGCGCTGCGGCTAGGACAGGCTAGGGGGCCGGGCGCCACGGCCACAAGTCCATATAGCAGCTGTAATACCACGTGCTAGTAGGTCGGATGTGTAGTATAGCGGATTTGGCGTAGGTCAGAAGTGGAGTATGGCGGATATGTGTAGGTCGAAAAATACACCACCAAATCAGGACCCTTGGTCGAAGTTTATTGTCTTTTTTGTCGTTACATCATAAAAGGGCCCTCCTGGGAAGTCAATGTCATATTTGTCGGGCGTGAATGCCACGCACAATCCAAACATCAAAAAAATACTAATTGGTTGAGCCAAATTTTTATTGTTTAACCTAAATTGACGTAATTTTTAAAACTTTTTATTATTTAATTTGAAATAAAAAAATTAAATATTTTGTGATAAATTCGTAAACGTCTATTTAAACTTGATGGTTAAATGATTTTACGTACGGTAACTAACTGAAGTAAACGTAACCTATAAAACAGGTTTCTATCTTTCTTTTTTACACCATAAGTTTGTTTTTACAATTTATTGACATTCCAACGATCTTATGCCTGTGTTTATAATATGATTTGTAGGCTAATGTTTTAGATTTTGATTTTCTTACGATATAAAGTACTAAGATACTAAGTACAAATTATTTTGGGTCCGTCCTAGTATATGATTTTTGGACCACCCCTGCCCCCCTCCTATCAATTTTGTACATGAGCACTTATTCTTCAGCATAAATATTATTTTTTTTAATATTATTTTAGGGTCAGGTTAGGTTAACACAATTTATTGGCCTAGTGCTGTGTCTAGGACAGGGTAGGGGGCCGAGCGCTAAGGCTAGGACAGGCTAGGGGGGCCGAGCGCTAAGGCTAGGACAGCCTAGGGGGCCGAGTGCTGCGGTTAGGACAAGTTAGGGAGCCGAGCGCCGCGGCTTAGGCAGGCTAGGGGGCCGGGCCCTGCGGCCACATGACCAATTATATCCATGTGTTACATATGAGATCCATGTACAAAATTGATAGGAGGGGGGTGGGAGGGGGGTCCGATAACCGTTTATTAGGAAATTACCAAAAAAAACTTTATCATTTCACTTAGAGTGCCTGGAGGGATTTTTCATTGTTTTTTTTTATCTGCTAGGTCAGAAAGTATGTCGTATATCTGCCCCCCCCCGTCCTTTATTTTCCCCCGAAAGTGTCCCATTACCTATTTAATCTTAATATCTGTAATTGCAGGACAAAATGAAGTGAACCAATCAAAATAGCTTGAAACTGAAAATTTCTAGTGTTTAAAGAATATATTTATAAATATGGTTTCTGTCGGAGGAAATAGAAGAAGTAAATGGAAATATCATGATATCGGAGAAGCTGCTATTAGAGTTATCCTTCTCCTACTCTTCATGGACCTGGAGCTGCGGGATCCGTTCGTGAGAAAAATTCAACCTGAAGAAATCTGGCTGTATCGAAATCCCAAGACAGCTTCCTACTTCCCTGGTCATGTGCTGTGGAAGATGGTGACGATTGTCCCGTTGATGGCCGTCTTAACCTGCTTCAGTTACCGCCGATGTCGGGTTGACCTACGCGCAGCAATGTTGGCGGCGACCTTGATAATCCCGTTGAACGGTGTGATCACTAATACTATTAAACTGTGTGTTGGAAGGTTTGTTTTTTAATTACAAGATTTTAAACGTAGGTTTTTGCAACACAAGGAGGGGGGGGGGATATCCATAACTTTGGGTAAGAAAAAAAGAAAATATGGTTTAAACTTGCATATTTTTATTACCTTTAATGACTTGTAAGCCATTATTTCTTTTGTACAATATTCGTCATCAGAAATTAATCTACAAAACCTTGAAACGTCTTTTGGTGCACGTGAGTGTGCTGAAAATTGACAATTGATAAGAAAAAATATACATGTCAGTTTTAAGGGGCCAGGTTGGCTAGGGGCATGTCAAGGGGTACACAGGGCTTCTGAAAATCTATATTCATGAAGATTTTATGCAGGTTTCGTCCTGATTTTGTATATCGGTGTTGGCCTGATGGTAAAATTCCGGAAGATGCCTTCAACTATGATCATTTAGGTAGGTTATGATAAAAATTATTCATTGATCATTAAAATCAATAAAATATAGTTAAAAAACCAACACATTCTTAGAAATGTTTTTATCCGTTGGCATTCGAAAAAACGAACTTTTTCAGTTTTAATTTACTTTGAAAATCTGAAAATTAAAGTATTAAATTTATTTCACTGGAAAAAAAAGTTAAACCATTATTGAGAAATCTCATTGAAGAATTCAAATATTTTTTTATTACAACATATCTTCTGTACTTTTGTGTAAATGTGCTTAGTTTTTAAAAATTAACTCCTTTTAATTCAGTGAAAATGAATGAAGTTCTATTTAAGAATGTAGCGGAAATCCTAAAATTATCGCTGAGGGAAGAAAATCCTTCCCTAGTGGACACAGCTCGTTCTCATTTGCAGCCTGGGGGTTCGTCTTTCTTTACTTCTCAGGCAAAGTTGGGACATTTCATCACAGGTATAGAACATTTTATCATAGGTAGAGAACATTTCATCATAGGTAGAGAACATTTCATTATAGGTAGAGAACATTTTATCATAGGTAGAGAACATTTTATCATAGGTAGAGAACATTTAACGTAGGTAGAGAACATTTCATCATAGGTAGAGAACATTTAATCATAGGTAGAGAACATTTAATCATAGGTTGAGAACATTTTATCATAGATAGAGAACATTTCATCATAGGTAGAGAACATTTCATCACAGGTATAGAACATTTCATCATAGGTATAGAACATTTCATCATAGGTAGAGAACATTTCATCATATGTTGAGAACATTTCATCACAGGTAGAGAACATTTCATCGTAGGTTGAGAACATTTCATCATAGGCAGAGAACATTTCATCATAGGTAGAGAACATTTCATCATAGGTAGAGAACATTTTATCATAGATAGAGAACATTTAACGTAGGTAGAGAACATTTCATCATAGGTAGTGAACATTTAAATATAGGTTGAGAACATTTTATCATAGATAGAGTACATTTCATCATAGGTAGAGAACATTTCATCATAGATACAGAACATTTCGTCATAGGTAGAGAACATTTCATCATAGATAGAGAACATTTCATCATAGGTAGAGAACATTTCATCATAGGTAGAGAACATTTCATCATAGGTAGAGAACATTTCATCATAGGTAGAGAACATTTCATCATAGGTTGAGAACATTTCATCCTAGATAGTAAATTTTTCATCATAGGTAGAGAACATTTTATCACAGGTAGAGAATATTCATCACAGGTAGAGAATATTCATCACAGGTAGAGAATATTCATCACAGGTAGAGAATATTCATCACAGGTAGAGAAGATTTCATCATAGGTTGAGAACATTTCATCCTAGAATTTTTTATTATAGGTAGAGAACATTTCATCACAGGTAGAGAATATTCATCACAGGTAGAGAATATTCATCACAGGTAGAGAATATTCATCACAGGTAGAGAAAATTCATTACAGGTAGATTTATTCATCACAGGTAGAGAAGATTTCATCATAGGTTGAGAAGATTTCATCCTAGATAGTGAATTTTTTATCACAGGTAGAGAACATTTCATCACAGGTAGAGAATATTCATCACAGGTAGAGAATATTCATCACAGGTAGAGAAGATTTTATCATAGGTTGAGATCATTTTATCATAGGTAGAGAATATTCATCACAGGTAGAGAATATTCATCACAGGTAGAGCATATTCATCACAGGTAGAGAAGATTTTATCACAGGTAGAGAAGATTTTATCATAGGTTGAGATCATTTTATCATAGGTAAAGAACATTTGATGAAAGTTAGAAACATTTCCGATTATTTTCTAATATTTAGACATGAAACCGGAAGCTGGAAACTAGTTGTATCTCTAGGACTACTCCTAGCTCCACTTTCTATTGCTATGTCAAGGTTGGTAAAAAAAATGTGGTTTTTTGAAAATTAAATAAATGATTGGATTAAGAAATTAGTGAAGAAACGTCAATACTTTACAAGCTAACATATAAAGATTAAAGACCTTACTCAAGATCTGATATAAGTAAGAAAATAACGAGTAGTCGGTAGTCAACTATCGTTTCAAGGAAATCAAAGCTAAGTCCATCAAAAATAACGGTTAAAGAATGGACATTAAAATACCAGTTAGTACTGCAGTGCGGAAATATGATGATGAAGGAATCTGATTTGATTTGATTTTGTGAAGAATTAGGCTTTTAATTTTTATAAATATTTTTTTTTAGAACTGCAGACTATCATCATCATTGGCAAGATGTTGTCGTTGGGAGTATTTTGGGATTTGTTGTCGCGTGTTTAGTGTACAGGTAGCGCATTGCAATTATTTTGGGATTTGTTGTCGCGTGTTTAGTGTACAGGTAGCGCATTGCAATTATTTTGGGATTTGTTGTCGCGTGTTTAGTGTACAGGTAGCGCATTGCAATTATTTTGGGATTTGTTGTCGCGTGTTTAGTGTACAGGTAGCGCATTGCAATTAATTTGGGATTTGTTGTCGCGTGTTTGTACAGGTAGTGCATTGCAATTAATTTGGGATTTGTTGTCGCGTGTTTAGTGTACAGGTAGTGCATTGCAATTAATTTGGGATTTGTTGTCGCGTGTTTAGTGTACAGGTAGCGCATTGCAATAAATTTGGGATTTGTTGTCGCGTCATGTTTAGTGTACAGGTAGTGCATTGCAATTATTTTGGGATTTGTTGTCGCGTGATTGTACAGGTAGCGCATTGCAATTAATTTGAGATCTGTTGTCGCGTGTTTTGTTTACAGGTAAAGCACTCCAATTAGTTTGTGATTTGTTGTCGTTTTTATTGTGTACACTGCAATTATTTTGGGATATGTGTATAAATAAAATATATTAATCTTCACGGGCCTAAAACTTTCGCTTATGTCATCTGTGTGATGAACCTTCTCAGTTCAGTCGTTTTGACGACTAGCGGATACAAACCAACAGAAAAACAACCGACCAAATATTTATAAAGATTGTTTTATTTTCAGGCAATACTATCCCTCAATCCTGAGCGAGGACTCAGCTACCCCTCTCTCCCTTCTCCAGCTCAACATCACGTCTAGTCCAGAGAAGGAGAAGATGGACAAAAAGGAGAAGTACACCATAATGCAGAGTATTTAGAAATCAAACCAGTTCATCACGATTTTCAGAACTTTTAAAGTTACCCCCTGATACAATCAATTTTGATGATTAAAAGGAGCTTCCATTAAATTTCTGTAGTTTTGTTTTTTACTCTCTCAAAGTTTTTTTTTTATTGAGAGCGGTGTAATTTATTAAAACAATGAGTTTTCCTTAGCTGATCAGTGTCTCTAAAGGTTGTCTTCCAACTAATAATAAATTAGTATTTCAATAGATTAGAATATATTTAGCATAATTATTATAATATATATTTATTTCTAGTATATAAATGCGTACATCATGAACATTTGGCCTAGTTTTTTTGTTGCTCATGCCATAACTTGCTCAACCCTTGATGAAAAAATATTTAATTTGTGTAAAACTAGTCGAACTATTAATTTATTATAACTTTACAATAAGTACATTATTTTTAATGATTTATTGATAAAATTCTTAAGAAAACTTTTAACTTTTAAAAAAATTTGCCAAGAATTTTTCGTTTTCAATTACAATCTTTCATTTTACAATATTTGATTCTTCTGTGATATTTAGAAGATGCTTTCTTGTTTATGAATATTGGTTGTTTTTTTGGTTTTGACATAGAAATCTTGGTTGTGTGTGAACAATTCGAATATGTAATTTATGGATTTAATTAAAGTTTTTAATATATATTTTCAGAGAAGCATGTTAATTAGATCTAGCAAATCAAGAATGTAGAACCTGGAGACAAGCAAGTAATATGTCCGGGAGACGAAAGGTTCAGGTTTCGTTTGTGATCAGGTAGGAATGATTTCTTTTAATTTAAATCATAATTTTACATTTTGTACTATTGAAAAAAAACTTTTAGATTTTGTTGTAATGTATTTTTTTCTAAAAAATTAATCTCATCTGGAAGATGAAATTTAATTGTTTTTAAAGTATAATGCAAAGTACAATTGTTTCAATTAATTATTCAATGTTAAATTTAAAAAAAAACTTGTTATCAAAATCATCCCTGTAAAATAAACAATCTAAGAGGATTTTAAAGATCAAATTTGCGCTTTTACTAAACAAAAATGCGTCATAAAAACATCTAATAGGTCTCAAATGAATCCTTACAATAATAAATTCCCTTTAAAAAGTTTACATAGTAATAGCAATAATTTTGATAAAATACATATATATATATACACCCACGTCGCACATCCATATATTGTGTACTTTGTTTAAATATTACCTAAAAGATTGTTTCTCTGTTACAAAATTAAAATCTGAATATTGAATTATTAAGAGAGGAGAAGGAGAACTGTCACAGAGCCGGGATTAACTCTCTCCAGTATGATCCTGTACTGAAGCGTCTCTACTCCGCAGGGCGGGATTCTATTATCAGAACCTGGAATGTTGCAAACCCAAAGGAACCTTATCTCCAGGTACAATTAATCCACAGAAAAGCATTGAATTATGTAAAATTATTTCCTCTCTTTAAAAATCCATTTCCTTTCCAGTATTTTGAAATGTATACGCTAAACTTTAATTTTCATTCACAAATATGTCCTAGAAATGAATAACTAATAGATTATTTCAACAATTCAAATAATAATTTTTGACCGTTAATATTTGAAATTTTTCCAACGTTCTTGAAAAATATAACAATTGAACTGCAGGGGGTATATTTTCTCGAAAAATCATTTCCCCACCCGGCCCCCACCCTTTTTAAATCGTTGTTTCCAAAGGTATTAAAAAAATAGAGTTTTATTCTCTGAATTTGGGAAAATAAATGGTTTTTAGGGGAAAGTTAATGAATTTTTGGGTTAGAAGTATGAAAAAGCATGCAAAAACCTGCCCCCACCCCCCTCCCCATGGGGGTAATTCTGAAAATATACCACCCTGACTGGAAGTGATCTAACGTTTTCTTAATTATAAATTAAACTATTTAAGAGTATGGAGCACCACACAGACTGGGTGAATGATATCCAGCTCTGCTGTGGTGGGAAGAATATAATCTCTGCTAGCTCTGATACTACAGTTAAAGTTTGGAATGCACACAAAGGGTTCTGTATGTCCACATTAAGGTAGAGAAATAGTGATAAAGCTAACAGACCTCTTACAGAGAAAACCAGAAAACCGTGAAATTAATGTCTTTCCTCTTCCTTTTGCGCAATTTATTTTACTCAATTTGTTTATTTTTTAACTGTTGTATATAAATGTTCACTGGTTCAGGGCACTTGTTGTATATAAATGTTCACTGGTTCAGGGCACTTGTATATAAATGTTCACTGGTTCAGGGCACTTGTATATAAATGTTCACTTGTTCAGGGCACTTGTATATAAATGTTCACTGGTTCAGGGTACTTGTATATAAATGTTGACTGGTTCAGGGCACTTGTATATAAATGTTCACTTGTTCAGGGCACTTGTTGTATATAAATGTTAACTGGGTTAGGGCACTTGTTGTATATAAATGTTCACTGGTTCAGGGCACTTGTATATAAATGTTAACTGGTTCAGGGCACTTGTATATAAATGTTCACTGGTTCAGGGCACTTGTTCAATATCTTTTAATTGCAAATTAAAAATCTTAAATGACATTTCAAGTTAAAAGAGAAATGAAAATGGCGAAAATTCCACTGTTATCTGAATCCAATTGTAATAATTTTCATGAGCTTTATACATAATTTCTAATGACAAGTACCACCAGCTTTACTAACCTTTATTTAACTTAAATTGTGTACACTACCGAGATATATTCGTTTTTCTTCGTCTTTTTCAATTTATAACATTTTCGAGTATTTCCATAGAAAAGTTGACTTAGAAAAAAGATAATCCATCAGGTTGCAAACATATTCCACGTTCTTTAACTAATGATAATTTCAGTTTTAAACCTTTTTAAAATTTTTAATATGTTAATTTACTTTAAACATTTAATTTTTGTTCTATTTAAATTAACACACTGTTTGTTTTCTTACAATCCTATTTTTTCATGTATCAACCCAAACCTAGGATCATCCTTTTAGGTACTTTTGCCTGACAGTTCATAGAATGTTTTTAGGGAAGATTTTTCTTGGATTCATTGGATTCATAATTTACCAGATTCTTAATTCAAAATAGAACTCGGTTGTATATGTATTGCAGTAACCCGTCCACAGGCTGACGATGAAGGATTCTTCAATGGCCAACTATGAAAGTTGCACCTATCCATTTAAAAATAGAAAAACCACAAAATCTTTTTTATTGTTTCTAAGAAAAAACATTTATTATAAATTTTCAATTTTCAGAACTCACAAGGACTACGTGAAGGCCCTGGCGTACGCCAAGGACCGGGAGCAGGTTGCGTCTGCCGGGTTAGACAAAGCAATCTTCTTGTGGGATGTGACCACCCTGACCGCTCTGACCGCCAGCAACAATACGGTCACAACATCATCACTCAACGGGAACAAGGATTCTATTTACAGCCTGGCCATGAATCCGTCTGGTAATATTTATCAAACTTTAGAAAATGTTTTTAGTGTATTTCATTTTTGTTTCTCTTACAATTATTTAATTAGTCTCAAGTCCAATTTTCTTATGTTTTGTCTTGAGGTAAACCAAAAGAAGACGGGCCTTTTTTTAAACTATACAATTTAAAAATAAAAGTCAATTTTTTTAAATCGTCGAATATTTTGATTAGAATCTATACTTAAAAGCTTCGAGTAAATGCGCTCTCTTAATATTTGTCCTGCGCGTCGTGAATTTTTATTTTTTATTTTGAGTGTTTTATTTAGGAACTGTAATTGTGAGCGGGTCCACGGAGAAGGTTTTACGAGTATGGGATCCTAGAACCTGTGCTAAACTTATGAAACTTAAAGGACACACTGATAACGTTAAGGTAGGAATTAGGAATGTGTCCCTTGGACCAAATTTAAGGAATTTGAGCTACGTCGCTTAACTACCAATTGCTGGTTCAAAGGAAATGAGTTATTGCCACAAACTCTAAATGTTTCCCCCCATTATATCTTAGCAACCCGATATCGTAGACCTTTGACATTTCAAACTATGAATTCTATTAGATCAAATAGTCTAAGTTTGAAATATCATCGGTTTACACAATCTGGTTGCAAAGATATAGGGATTATAAAATTTGAGTTTGTGGCAAAAACTCAATTACTTTGAACCACCGATTTAAAGTTAAAGATTAGTGTGTTTATTTGGACTAAATTGTAACAACATCCTGTTTGCATCATTTGTTAAAAATACTAAGAAATTTATTTGTCATGGTTATTGGTTACTCTCTCGGCGTAGTTTTTAGTTCAATTGAACAAAGTTCTGTTCTTTTGGACTATTCGGTCTAGTTCTATGAACGTTAAAGTCCAAATAAGCCTTATAGTTTAAACGAATGTTAGCTATGCTGATCAGTAGTCTAATTGACACGACACCATTAAGAATAATATTTATATTCTTTAAAACTCGATACAAATACAGAATAAAAAAATATATTTTTAGGCTTTGGTGTTGAACCGTGATGGTACACAGTGTCTGTCTGGGAGTAGTGACGGTACAGTACGCCTGTGGTCCTTGGGTCAACAGCGCTGTATCTATACTTATCATCCGCACTCCGAGGGGGTCTGGGCACTCCAACCTAACGATACTTTTACCCAGGTAAGAAAATTGGTTTGAGGTCCGAACTTGTGAATGAAATAGTGCTATCTGCCTCGTCAGAGCTTAATATCCACAGCAAGCTTGTATGGTCGCGATCTCTTATGGCCTTATAGCATAGATTATTGTGTAGGTTCTGATTGTTTAAACATTTAAAGATATTTAAAAGAAATTACTTTATCCGTAGGACCAAAATTGATCCGGATTACAATAACAATAGTTTCGACAAATTATATTTCATTAAATACATTAGCATTGACAAATAATGAATATCATTTTTATGATTCCATCCATATTGCTGAAATCTACGCTACCCTTTCTTATTTTCTATTTGTGCTCTATGACCTCTGGTATAGGTGTTCAGTGCTGGTCGGGATAAGAACCTGTACCTGACCGATCTACGGCACGCTGACCGGCATACTCTAGTCTGCAGGGAAACTGCACCAATCCTTAAAATGATTCTGACCCCGGACCAGGTCAAATATTTACAAACAATAAATATATGTCTTTCTACAAAATTTTTGTTTTACATTTCATGCTCATAAGCCCTCCCCCCCCCCCCCTGGACAAATTCCTAAAACACCCCTGATGAAGAAATACAATAATTAAAATTTTGATTCAATCGTAATTTTTATGCGAAATGAAAATCAATTTATTTGAACCCTATGTTAAGTCTGGTCTGTGGGTTGCTACCAGCGACAGTACGATCAACCATTGGACCCTCTCCAATCGTATCCTGGCCGGGACGGAGACGCAGGAAGGACCGGAGCCTATTATTAAAGATCATGATATAGCGATCCGAGGAGGACCAAGTATAAAAACCTACACTGTACTCAATGATAAGAGAAGGATAGTTACCAAGGATACTGAGGAAAATATTGCAGTTTACGACGTTTTAAAGGTAAATTATTTTTTGATAAAGTTATCAATTAATTTACAAAGCAATCAATCAATAGTATGATCTTCACTGGTCCCCAAAAAATTTGTAATGTAACGACGACCGACGACCAATGCGTCAAAGATTGCAGTATGGAAAAAGTATACGCATATTTTTTATCATATATCAATATTATATCAATGAAACGATATAATCGTACTTCATTTTAATAGAAAATCCACATAAACTGATGTACTTTGCCAAGTTTAGCCGCATATTGCATTTTTATATAGTTTAAGTATTTTAATTAGATCATTGGTTACAACAAAACTCGACTTCTTCATGCTATGAGGTGGCTCAAAATGCGCATAATTTAATAATTTTCAATATGAGCTTGAGCCAATAGTTGACCCCGGTGTTTATTTATTTCCAACTCAGGCTTGTAAGATGGAGGAATTGGGTAAGGTTGACTTCGAGGAGGCAGTGAAGGAGAGACAGCAGACGGTGTTTGTCCCGAACTGGTTCACGGTGGACCTCAAGACAGGGATGCTAACGATCCACCTTGGGCAGGACGAGAACGATTGCCTCTCCGCCTGGGTATCCGCCAGGTATTAAGTTGACCCAGAGTACTTGCATCCAATTTAATAATCAACAGTTACATTCTGTGAAACGAAAGTAAAATGTAAAAAAAATATCTCTCAATTCTTAAAATAATACATCTCACAATTTTTTTATATTAATTTTTTTATTGTGTCAAGACATTTTGGTTATTTTTAAACATGTTGATTATTTTTTTAAATTTAATTAAGAGAGACGGGGTTGGCTCCGGATGAGAGTCTGGAGCAGAAGGTGAACTACGGTGGTTTGTTGCTCCAGGCTCTATTAGAGTACTGGCCCAGGCCTTACAACACAGAGGACGAAAGTGACATGGAGCAGGTGCAGAAACCTTCAAATTAATACATCTAAAATATACAAAAATATTTTCAAAAACCTAGATTACTGGTTTGACAGTTTTCATATTTCAGGGTGCAAACGGATCCCGGACAGGAAACGGGAACGAATATTTCCAGGTTCCAGGACACACGCCGGTCATCTTTAGTGAGGTTGGCGGCAGAACTCTATACAGGTATACTTTACTTATTACTTGTGCAGATGCAGATTTTGTTATTGTAATGTTTGATCGGAGAAATAAACTCATCCAAATTGAACCCACATCCTGTATCAGATTACTAGCCCGGGATGCTGGTGGAGAAACGGAAGGAGTTCTCCTCAATGAAACCGTCCCGGCCTGGGTTGTGGATATCGTCGTCGAGAAGAAACTGCCAAAGTTCATCAAGGTGCGTATTATATAAACAGGGACGAAGAGAATTTTGATAAATTCCTTAAATGGATATCTTAATTGTTCAATTAAATGCTTTTTTGTAATTTGTAGCTAAAAAATTCGCGAATAATACTAAAAAATTATTATTTTGTACACTAATTTGCGTTCCAATTGATTAAATCAACTGCTGTGTAATGTTGCGATCTTAAGAATCGAGAAATAGGGGGGGGGGGGGTTAATTAGGGGAAAAGTAGGTTGGGATAGGGTGGGGATGTGGATACAACTTTCTGAATAGGTGAGCTAAGAACGTATTAATGAACCTATAGATACACTTCGGAGCGTCGACATCAATCTTGAAGTAAATTGAGATGATTGTTCCAGGTTACATTCTTCGTATTACCCCACTCTACCCTGGGATATAAAACATTCAAGAGAGAACGGTTGATTGCAAACGACTTCCTACAGATCAGAAAGGTAGGATTTTTATAATTTAGAGAGAACGGTTTAAAACCTTATAATATATTATTCATGATAAATAAACTGTAATGGGGTTTGTTTAATAAGCGCAAACTACTTTAAATCCTAAAAACTACAAATAAACAAAGATTGAAACAATAAAACCGTTTGGATGGTCTTCTTTAGCAAAAGGTTATTTTCTAAGCGTGATAAGAATTAATAATAATTATTAATATTTTAAAATAAAATGTTGAATCAATGTGCCAACTGTACAGTGTACTTAACCAGATAGATTGGACAGGAACCAATAGAGAGACGTAGTTGAACTATGTAGACTAGATTGAACAACTGCTCTTCAGTTTGCCCGGCGCAAGGGCGTTTACAGTGTCCACACCTCCCACACCAGACCTGTTAATGGAACTCAGCTATCACACTTCTCAAAGCTTGAACTGAAGAGTGAATAACATTGATTTAATTAAATATCCTAAGCCGGCCATGGTTGGAATATTATCTGAAAAAACTTACATTGATATTACTTAGGATTTTAACTTACTTGGGTACTAAAAATGATACCTCAAGATATCCAAGGAGACAAATGTGCTGAATTTACAGTTTAAAAACAATTTTTATATTCATTAAAAATTGTTTCATTCTCCCATGATTTCAAATAAAAGCTCTGCACCCTGAGGGCGGTCTGCGGGTTCCATGTCGGGTTCCCTTTCAGATCTTATAATTATATATTTATTTAATAAATATTGTGCCTAGGTGATAGAGCATGTGTACGACAAAGTGATGAACGGAGGGAGTGAATCAGGGAGTGGCGGGGGTACTCCGACAGGTTAGCAGGGAGTTAAATTTAAGGCCTTGGGGGGGTGGGGTGGGATAAAGAGGGTCACCTGGACCATAAAGATTAAAATATTTTTGATTAGGAGAACGAAAAGACCGGGAAGAGTCAAATAGTCAAGCAGAGGAAAGAGTTGAACTGCTCTGCAATGACCAGGTAATTGGAGTGGCGGTGGTACGGCAGTAGTAGATTGGGAACAGGAAAAAGAGTTGGTAATGGTATATGATGAACATTAAGTAGACAGATGGTTGTGCTGTTGATAGTAAATTAATTACTGCAGAAATTACAGGAATGTCATTAATTAAATGTCAAAAGTTTGTACATAGTTTACAGTTGTCTACATTTGTATCGTTTATTTACACTTATTTACGTTTTTTAGATACAGTTTACATTTTTAAACATTTTTCCATTTTTTAACATTTGTTTACTAGTTTACATTTGTTTACATTTGTCTGCATTTGTTTAAATTTTTTACGTTTACATTTGTTTACATGTTTTACATTTGTTTGCATTTGTTTACAGTTGTGTACATTTGTTTGCATTAGTTTACATTTGTTTGCGTTATTTTACATTTGTTTGCATTAGTTTACATTTGTGTACAAGTGCTAAAATTTAGTTTGCAGCTGTTTACATTTGTTTACATTTGTTTACATTTGTTTACATTTGTTTACATTTGTTTACATTTGTTTATATTTGTTTACATTTGTTTACATTTGTTTACATTTGTTTACATTTGTTTACATTTGTTTACATTTGTTTACATTTGTTTAAATTTTTTATATTTGTTGTTATTTTTACGTTTTATAAAAAAATACGTTTTTTACGTTTTTTACATTTTACATTTTTTATATTTTTTACATTTTTACTTTTTACACTTTTTACATTTTTTACATTTTTTACATTTTTTACATTTTTTATATATTTTACATTTTTACATTTTTTATATATTTTACATTTTTACATTTTTTACATTTTTTACATATTTTACATTTGTTACATATTTTACATTTTTTACATATTTTACATTTTTTATGTAATTTACATTTTTTTATGTTTTAGGTTCTGGATCCAAACCTGGATTTGAGAACTGTGAAACATTTTATCTGGAAATCAATGTCAGATCTTGTTTTACATTACAGGTTAGATATCTAGGGGTTATTCATTGAGCATCAGAGTATTCAATATCGGGGAGAAAATAATAATTTTTTTGATAATTAACTCTTAGAATTCCAAACCTCTCTTTGATAAATAATGTATTTTTTACTATTTAATGTTGCACGGTAAGATTATCGCCCTCTATTTCTTTTACATAAATTACAAACAAAGTTATTTGTTCCAACTTTTTTTAATTCTGTACTTTGTAGATCTGAGTGCGAACGTTTAAATTTCTTCCTTTTTTTTTGTTTTGAAAGATTTGATGTCCGTAAGAACTGAATTGTAATAACTAATTATAACACTATCATTTTGGTTCACAGTGTTGTAAAGTTTTTAGACAGAAGTTTTCTCTTTATCAGGAAGGTTCGAGCCTTTTTATATTATATTTTGTCCTGAGCTTTATATTCGGCACAGTACACAGTGAATTTTAATACTAAATTCTTATTTTCAGACCGTTGCGATGAAGTTTTTATCTAAACTGAGTTGATCTCAAGAAACCAAGAGAGGAAAATCATTCCAAGCACCCCCACTCCCCCACCCAATGCTGTCTCAACACCACCACCCTCATGTATCACTCAACTGTTCTGCAGCATAATATTACAGAAGGCCAAGCAGTTCAAGTTCTCTCTACTATTCTTTATCCACCGGAAAGTCGAATCTGGAAGCTCTTTTTCATCACTTGAAGCTGTTTTATGAGAAGCTGTTTCCTGAGACTGAAGCTGTTTTGCATCCAGTTAAGCTTTTTCCCCGTCGAGCAGCTGTGTTTTTATTCTGGAAGCGGTTTCAAATCCACAAAATCCTATAAGCTATCTTTTCTCCAAGGTGTCTGTTTCTCCCTTCCCAAAGCGGTGTATTTGCCCTGAAAGCTGTTTTTTGCCTGTGGTAGCTGTTTTTCTTCTTTGGAATCCGTTTATCTTAACGTTCATGGAAGATATTCTTGTTTTTTTCGTGCATTGGATTTTTCTTTCAAAGCTTCGATATATTCTTTAGGATATGGGAGCTGTGGCCGAATCTTCAGATTATATTAAGCACTTGTTTTTTAATTGTGCTGTTTAATAGTTCATGTGCAACTTGTCCTTGCCCCTCTGTTGTTTTAATGATCTATAATGTTACATTCTTCAGTGATGATTTGAATTTATTTTTATTATATTAACGATTATGTAATTCCTTCTGTTATTAATACCACTTAAAATTTATGTTGATTCCATTTATTTCCGTACTAATTTTAAGTCTTTATCTAAATTCTTATATTTTAATTTTAACTGCTGTATCTGCGAACCGAGGTTTACTGCAATCTGGCGGTTTTACGTCAAACCAACTTGTTTTGTATGTCGTGATACCTAAAACGTGATTATTTTTTGTAAAATGATTTTTGGCAAGTTGAGGAATATTAAGAAAAAACTTTAAGAATTATGTTGTTAAAGTTTGACATCAATGAAAAATAATACAACATAAATTTCTTCGTTAGAAGAAAAAATGTTATTAATTAATATATAATATTAGAATGCATAATTTAGCTGCGTCTATAGGTAGGGTTAGTTCATTTTTAAAATAAGTTTAAATTTACCATTGTAATTTAGTAATGTACTTCTCGCATGTTATATTTATTATATATTGCCATTACACGGAAATAGGATGAAAAATTTGATAATCCTTTGTTCAGTAGATTTAACATCCGTCATTAAAACTAGCATGTTTCAGAGAGAATGAAATCCGATTCAACCCAGTCTATTGATGTCATTGATGAGACTGAGACGCGGGTTGGGTTCATAGATAATATCACCAAGAATGACAAAAAAATCAGAATTGTGGTAAGGGATACCGGATATTATTGACTTATTATAACATAATTGTGTTTTACTAATTATGACGATTTTGTTGTGAAATATTAAAAAATCTTTTTTAAATGCTCTTGTGATATTCGCGTTTAATTAGAATAATACTAAAGTTAAATATATTTTTTTTTAATCCATATTAGAGAATTTTGATATTTTAATAATGATAAGAATAAGCTTGGTTTTGATGAATTCTGGGTTTTTACTTTGGAAGATTATTTCTTACTTTTTAATTAAATGATAATGAAAACGCATTTTTTTCAGTGGTTCAGTGCTGTAGCTGTATTAACTGTAGTTGTAATAGTCATAATTGTTGCAGTAGTTCTTACTTCAGGAAAAACACCTTTAACATTATTATTTTTAAACTTCATAAAAGAATTTGAATTTTTTAAAAGTTTTATTGAAGACCTGATTAATGGATGGAATAGTGTCTTGTTCACAGATTTTCTCTGTTACCTTACCCCTAAAGGGTTTCAATATAGACAAATGAAGGAAATGGTTTTGAAAATATGTTTTTTTAAACGATAGATTTTAGAACAGATTATTCAATATGATATGACGTCATTAGTTTCTCTCTCTCGTCAGAGTAATCCACATTTTATTTAGCAAACTCTTCTGTAAAATCTTTATCCCGGTTTTTTTTTTGGTTTTAGTAATAAGACATAAGACAAATTTAGGCTGGCTCTTCGAAATTGGTCACAAAATAGGTATTGAATCTATTTTATGTCCCTACTTCTTGTCACTGTAAACTACAACAGTGTAGCCCAGTGTTAAGCGGCTACAAAAGCAGTCCACCAGCTTCATTATGTCCTCATAATGCCTGGTTGGCATTTTTTTTAAAAAATCGGATAAACATTAATATTTTTTCAATGACTATTGGAAATGAATATGTGATTAGTAAGGAGTGTTATAGAATTGGGATATGGATTTATATCTGAAATTCCTAGAAAAAAGGAAAAAGGGGGTGACATTTCTTACCTCTATTCGGGGTCTTCATCATCAACTACAGATCTAGGCGTTCATATATTTTCATTAGAAATGACTCGAAGGTCTAATAACAGGTATCCTCTGGACACAAAATCCCCAAGTTTCAAGTCCCCTTCTTCTCCAAGGAACACTTTTGCTAGGTCAGTGTTACTAAGATTATGCCTTCGGTTTGTTGTAATCCACAAATCCAGGGAGACCTTATCAGAAACCAACAAAGATTTTCTAATTTGGCCCATAGCTGGGCAACCAATAAGAAGGTGAGACTCATTGTTCGGACCTAAGAGGCACAGAGGGCAATTTACAACTCGACCTTGCCCATTGTGTACTGCTACTTCAGTCAAGCTGTTGTCCCTGTTCCCAAGCCTTGCATTACCGCAGCGGAATTCTGTCAATATCCTTGACCAAGTCTCATCCTTGATATAGAACTGCTTGCGCCACCATACTTTTGGGAGAGGGAGGGCATTTAAGCATTTCAGACCTGCAATTTGGTTTTTGATCATCTCAACTTCCTTCTTCAGCAAAAAGATCACTGAAGATTTGGAGAAGTTTTCAGGCTTCAAATTTATTGGGTTCAATCTTCTTCCCAGATCTGTGTAGAAAGGAGAGTTCTGCTCTGACAGGTGCTCATTCATGATAAGTTTCACCAGCTCACTGCCTTTGTAACTGTTTCCCAAAATTGTCAGCACAAACCTAATCTTCCTTTCTGTAATAAGGAGAGAAACTGGTTTTAAGCCTAACTCTGAATATACGACAACATTAGCAGTTGAATCCCGAACACCAAGAATGCATTTACCCAGAGAGATCTGGATTTGCTCTAATTTTTCCTCCTGGATCCTGTCAAAAGGGATGGCTTCTAGGCCATATAGGATACTGGGAAGGGCAATGTTCTTCCACATGGCTAGATACACATCTACTCTATCTGGAATTAGTCTTTTAATTCTTAAGATGTTCCTCTTGTACATGATAGCTTTTTCAAGTTTGTTTATGGCTTTACAGGAGATGGTTGCATTTGCTCCAAACTTTTGCAGTAACCCAAGGTACTTGAACTGCTCAAGTTTTTCAACATCTTCATAAGCATTTGTGAGTAGATTCATAATCTTCCAGGGATAAACATTTGTGGGAGTCACTACCTTGGTTTTTATTACAGAGATAACCATTTTAAAGTCAACACACCATTTCTCCACAATGCAGACTAGAAACATCATCTCTGACCACAACCCTGAGAGGAGCAGAATGTCGTCTGCAAACTTTAAAAAACTGAGTAATAAGTTCTCGGTCAACTCAATCCCCACTCCAGCTCTTCTAAGTCTGTTCCCAAGCTCAGACATATAAAGCACAAACAGAATTGCAGAAAGATTGCATCCCTGACGTAACCCTCTTGTCAAGTAGAGCTTGCCTGTTGATCTCCCCGCTGACGCAGATGAAATATAATCATTACTGTAATATGACTGAAGGAGATCTATAAATGATTTAGGGAAGTTCATTTGACTGAGTTTCTTATATAGAGAGGGCCTATCCACCCTATCATAAGCTTCCTTTAAGTCTAGAAATATTAAGTGGGATACTAACTTTTTCTTTTCTCTTTTTGCAAGCAGTGAATTAAGAATAAATATGTTGTCCTCACACTTCCTGCCTTTCCTGAAACCCTGCTGCTCAGGGCCTAAAATTCCAGAGGATTCAACTGCGGCTGAAATCCTCTTAGCCATAATTTTAGTCATTAGCTTGCTAATGCATGAAATTAAGGTAATGGGCCTGTAGTTTTCAATGTCAGAGGGAGGATTTTTCTTGAGAACTAGAATAACTTCCCCAGCCTTCCAATCCTCTGGAACGCAGCCTGAGAGAAGGATATTGTTGTAAATCTCCATTAGTTTTAACTTTGCATTATCTGGCAGGTTCTTTATCATGGCATTGGTGATCCCATCATTCCCTTCCGCTTTAGATTCATCCAACTCTTTCATATTGCTCTCAAGCTCAAGAAATGTGATGGGTTTCCAAATTTCATGTGCATCTTTATGATTAAGCACTCTGGAAGGTTTACCTAGTCTAGAGGTTGTCTCCTCATCATCATTAGGCTCTTCAAGAGGATTAGGTTTGGATTCAGAAGCCTTGAATTTTTTAACAAAAAACTTTTCCACAATTATTATTTTGTCTTCTGGTTCTGTATAGACTGTTCCATTCTCCTCCAGTATATCTATTCCTATTTTCCTTTTGTTGTTCCCTGCTACTAAATTCCAGAAGAGCTTTTGAGCCTTGGGTCCCCTAGCTCGTAGGAGAGCCCTAGTTTTACGCCTGACTCTTAGTTGGTTTATGTAAAATTTGGCTTTGAACCTTTTTCTTAAATCTTGCCACTGTTTCCATAGGACTGAGTTTTCTTCAGATGATCTCAATCTTCTGTCTAGTGAATTATAGATTCTCCTGGCTACCCTGACATTTTTATTCAACACCTCTAAATCCTTTGGCAACCGCCTTTTCTTTATTCCTGCATTATTGATTGGGGAAGTTAAGGACATGCCCGCAGCTCGCATTCTGCCTTTCAACCACCTTTCCTGTTCATCTGATGATAGTCCCTCAAAACCCCCCTGACTCTGCATCTGTTTATCCAAGACTCTCTTGTAGCAATCCCATTTCCTTATCCTTCTAAGCTGATTGTTATGTGCTGTTTGGACCTGCTCCACTTTTCTAAACTTTACTCTAATCTTCAAGAACATTGTAGCATGATCAGAATCCATTTCCAAACCTTTGTCTGCCTGAACCTCAAAAATCTCAATGCTAGGCAGAAGATTCTGAGAAACTAAACCATAGTCTATGATAGATTCAATTAAACCATGGCCAAAATCTCTTCTAAAAGTTGGTGTTTCTGAAATCAGGTTAATCCAAGGTATAGTATTTAAACAACTCAGGTTCATCTCCTTGCAGAAATTTATCAAGAGGGCCCCATTATTGTTTACATCATGTGTGTGAGACTTGAATCCCAGTACAGGTTCATTCCCAGTATGAGCATTAAAATCCCCCAGAATAACAACTCCAAAATCTCTGGCCTCAAACCATTGAACCTCTTCTCTGAGCTGCTCTAGGAGTTTCTTATTATCAGAATAGTGTATATGATCTTTGCCTTTGTTGGTTCGTAAATAGACTTGACAGATCGCAAACTTTTGGAAACCTGGAACAAACTTCAACCATACTGTCTCAGATGATGACAAACTTTCCCATACTTCCATGTTAAGGCCTTTATTGGATTTAATCCAGACTATTATCCCACCCTCTTCATGATCAGATCTCAGGTGAGCTTCTTGTCTATATCCTTTAACCTCGAAATCTTCCAATCTCTCCCCTTCTTTGATTTTTACTTCTGACATCATGATGAGGTCCAAGTCATTACTTAAAAGATATATCAACTGATAGGCACATTAAAAGAGTTTAAACTTTAAAAATGATAAAACTCCCTTTGGCATCATGGTAAAGTCCAAGTCATTACATAGAAGGTATATTGACTATTAAACACTTTTCAAAGTTTAAAAATTATGATATACACCAAATTTAAAAAAACAGAGTGAATCCTATCCTAATGCATAAAATTGTTTCTGTGGGAAAATGATAAAACTCTCTTTGGCATCATGGTAAAGTCCAAGTCATTATATAGAAGGTATATTGACTATTAAACACTTTTCAAAGTTTAAAAATTATGATATACACCAAATTAAAAAAAAAATAACTGAGTGAATCCTAATGCATAAAATTGTTTCTGTGGCAAAGGATTTTAAAAGCTTTGAAAATAAGAAACTTAGACAAAAGAGCTGTCTCTTAACCCAAACTAACCTTTCTAATAGAAGTTCTAGATCCCTTATTTTTGAAACTGATAGGCCATTGATGTTGACTGATA